AGTCTGCTGAAGCATAACTTTAAAAGCCCAGCATTAAACTTTTCTTCATCACATTAAAATGACTTGCAAAACCATCTGCTAGTTAATAAAGRCTTTTTAAAGCATGAATGCTGTATTTTATAGCGAACTATACTAAGAGGAACACAGGACATGTATTTAGAAAGTCAGAAAGGCAACAGTCTGCTGTTCTTTCACTTAAAGCCAGTGACGTTCACTCCCACAACTAACTGGAAAGACTCAAGACTTCAGCCCTTTGAACATTTCTTGTACAAATCTCACAATTCCTAAATGCATCCTCATTTTTTTCAGATTGCTCACAGACACTGTAGTATTGCTGATATCACAATGTTTTCACTTTCATGTCTAACTCCATTCTATTTTGTTAACATTATGCACCTCAAATATTTATTACAGATTCCAAGGACTGCAGTGGGTGATTTTGCTTCCTCTACAGGCATTTTCTCCTTTTACAGATAGAGGGGATGACCACAAGGTGACTGTGGCACCACTGGGGATGCAGCTTGAGGTTTTGTTAAGCTGCCATCCAGAAGCAAGATCTGCTCGGCTCCCATGTTCCCACCCTCCTTAAATTATCTATGAGAAGCCTAAGAAATGTATATATAATATGTATAAAATACTATATAAAAAAAAGCTAGGTAACATATACAAAACAGAAGAAGAGGGGCAGTGATGAGGTGCAAAGACAAGGGTGCAAACCTGGAACTGCTCTCATAAGGAGGGAGCTGCTTCTGTGTCATCCAGCTCCCTTGGCCCAGGAAGCCCTAGATCTGGGCCAGACCTGGCAGCAACTGCGTTACAGCGACTAGCAAGCAAAGAGCAAGTTGGCTTCATGCCCACATGAACAATTAATGGTGAAGAATAAGGGAAAGCAYGCGGAGCTGTCTGCGATGGAGGAATTTCAGGGCACCGCTTACCAGAGCTGCCTGCTCCATTGCACTCACTGCTTGCTCYACCACCTCCAATATGGGATATCCCTGGCTCGGTCACCTGGAGCAACTGGTGTTTTCACGCTCCAAGTCTCACCACAATCCTCCATCTGTGCTGTTTTCTCTCCCTCCTTCTCTCCCTTGTACTGTTTAACATCTCTGTTCTTCGGTGGTGATTACTCACTTCTGCTGGGCACCGAGGAGACTGCTTGGCTGGAAAGCTGCAGGCTCTGTCATGGTCACTGCAATTTACAACAATGGAGGGAGCAACTTAAAAAGCAAAACAAAAAAACACTGTCTTGGCTTAGGAGCCACCCCATTCCTCCTCTTAATCCAAGCTCTATCCAAGAATCCTAGCTAAGCTTTCCTGGGAAAACAGGGCTTGAAACAACACTAGAAAAGTCACAGCTTTTCCTCCCCCTCTCAGCTAAATGCTGTAACTGCCCTGCACTCCACCTACTTTTATGTTCACTTCAGGTGTCACAGAGCCTGTTCTGAGGCAGCTCTACAGGAGGACGAGGTCCAGCAGCTGGGCACACAGATGGTCCCTGCTGCTAATCACCCTTCTGCGCACAGGTGGTGGAGCAGCCGAGATGGTAAATTGATGGGACTGATCAATGGGCTGAACACGGCCCTGGGGACCCCCTGCCTACCCCTCTACACAACAGTATTAATATAACAGCTTTTCCACACTCATGTCTGCACCAGGCTGGGGCTATATAATCCAGTAATAGCTGTAACCCATCAGGCACCGTCACCTGAGATGTAGCCCCCTTGCACTATCGTTATCCCCACCGGCAATGGTGATACGTGAGGTTTATGTTGGGCTATTTTACAGGGTTTGCCACTGCTTCTGGGTATCGAGACCTCTGGCTTCTCACGTGGCCAGGAGAGATCTGAAAATCCACTTTCATGTGTGGGCCAAAGACCAAGGCTAACAGTTTGGCTAGATGGCATTTTGCTAACATAGTTCAGCTCCTCTGATTCAGTATGAAATACATAGGGATGATCAACAAGATGAAAGACCCTGCATCTCACCTGCACACAGCAAAATTCACTCAGACTTCTCGTCTTGGTGCTGGGCAGTCCAGAAAGAAAACACAGTGATTCACATTGCACTAATTTGCTGTTGGAAAAAACAGAGCTTATGGTAGGTCCTACTGATTTAATGCAGCATGCAGCAAGAGCAAACCATTTCCCAGTGGCCTTGCAGAACAGTTTGCTTGAACACAGTGCCTACAGCTTTGAAACCATTTGCTTTGCTCTGTTTTACCCCGTGACAAGCCCTGGATCTTACCTGAATCGCTTTGGTGTGTATGTGCAGCCTCTCCTTTGGTGAGCTCTCTGAGCACAGGCAGGAATCAAAGCACATACAGGGATTCAGCCTGTTTCCAGACGTGACGCTGCTCTGAAGAACCATTATTCACTTAGATACACGTCAGAGTATCTCTTATCCCGAAGAGCGCGTGAGCTCTGACACTTGTGTCGCCGCCGAAGCTCCTTCACGTGGATATTGCAACAGCAGCAGCACAGGGAGCTCCGCTCTCCTCCATTAGCAAAGGCAGTAGGATGTGCGTGACACACAGCCTGGCTTTGGGTGACAGGCCACGTATCGAAAAGTCCTTCTTCCCAGAGCCCTTTCCTCCTTCCCTCTGCTGCTGTCACCTCTTGGGATGCCGCTAGTGACACAGATCCTCACAGACCCTCAGCTGCTGTGGCCAGCAAACTCCCACTGCCTCACTGTGCAGCAGTGCGGGGAGTGAGTGAAGCTTCAGCGACTGCAGCGTCTCCCATGGACATTTCTGTGCAGCCCTACTGTTAAAAGTGTTCTGTTGCATTTCAAGATCCCTCACTATTGAAAAGACATCTTCCAGTGTGTACTACTGCTTTGTGGAAAGGTGGGACCACATAGCCAGCCTGGGCTTTAMTTTCAGTGGTTTGGTCTATTTTTTTGCCACAGTTACAAAAAATCCAAGTCAAAAAATGAACRTTGCTTTTTTTTCCCCAAAAAGCCTAGTAGCTTCTTCCTCAGGAATAACTCACTGTAGGCAGGGGGAGAACAGGAAAAGGCTGCATAAAACAGGTAACACTTGTGCTGAGTCCATGGTGAGGAATGCTGAGCTCTGTTAATCCAAAGCACAACTCTGGGGCAGCTGACATCTCAGGACAGGGTTAGAAATCACTTCTAACATGACATGGCAGACTGGGCCATCAGCCTATAGATGAAGGTGGTGCAGGAAGAACCACGGAGCCAGGAACTAGYGTGTGCAAAACGGACCCCGCTCCCTCACCTCTTCTGCTGCCAAGATACAACTTTTCCAGCTGTTCTTCTCCCTGCAGAAAAACCTTTTACCTTCCTCACTGAGGAGCAGTTAAGAAAAATTATCTGGTAAGCATACCTGGTTGTGTTGCTTTTCATTGCTTTGTTCAAATCCCCCTAATTTGCTGCATTTTTTCTAACTTGGAAGAACTGGAAAACCTTATTCAGAGCAGTAARAGCAGGGAAAAAGCATTTGTGTTGCAATTGTGTGCTACAGACATAATAAAATGACTGCCATCCTGGTGTACTGTGTGATGCCACTTAGACCACTGCCAACTTATGCAATAACAAGTATAAGATTCAGACTGGAAGTCATTAAATCCTTTGTTCAGAGAGTCACCTGGCAAAATGGGAACTGCAATGCATGTTTTTATGAAAGGTATATCCCTCCCTCATTTCCAGGAAAATGCAAAACTCCCCAAAGAACAAAACAATTAAGATAAAGGAACACACCAAATAAATTTATTACGCTCCAAGTCATTCATTTTAACCCAGCTTGACTTGTTGAGCACTTCATCTTGCTCCCTGAGCAAACACCACTCACCATGACCACAGCCAGGTTTCAGGCTGGCAAAGGAGCAACACGCAATAACTCTTCTTACACACACGACTGGACCAGGCCATTACAACTGTTTCTTCCATTGTAAAATATGTGAACCCAAGAATAAGCCTGCTATGATCTACTGATGACAAATGAAGCTAAGCTAAAGCTTCTCTGGTTTTGACACATTGCAAAGTAATTCCTGGAATGAGATGTACTTAATTCTTTATCCAAACTACTGTTAATTGTCCTATTGTGTGCTAAAACTTTGCAGGAGACTGAAGYTACTGAGAGTAGTAGCTCCATTTCACAAAACAAAATAACCACAAAACCCAGAATGAGCAAAGAGCAAAGTGTGCAAAGGGCAGATGTGGATTTCAGCCTTCAAATGGTGCTATCTAGATTTTAAGAGTATGATTTTAAATTCAGAGCACGGCTTCTTTGTCAAGGTACAACCTTCAGCAAGAAGCACTGGAACAGTTCCGCTCAGCACACACTCCGCACTGGACCCACATTCAGTTAATTACATAGCTTGGAGCTCTCATTAATGTTATGCCGTTTACAGAAAGTATCTACATTTACCAGTGGAACAATATTTTGTAAAACACACTGGCCTGATTGGACAAGCCTTCCCTTTTGGAGACAAAAGCAAGCTGCAGATTACAAATTTTGCCCACTATCAACCAATCACGCAGCAATCAAACCCAGCATTCAGAAGATTGGAGATAAAAGAACCAGAAATCAGCAAGAGAGCATCATAAAAGATGGGATATGCAAGGGTTTTACTTTTTATTTACAGCAAATATATTACAGTAAAAAAGCTTACCATGGCTCTTGTTGCAGTTGTGTAAGGAAGATACATRTGCTTACATCAAACAGGTTTAATTTCCTTGGCACTAACTGAACAAAATGCATGGATTCAACACAAAAATAAGAAACAGACCATTTATTGGGCAAATTCTATGCTAACTGTACACATCTGTGACCAGAGTTTCAATGCAATCCAAAGAGAACACGAGCAAGCCAAGGGGATGGCAAGAACCTTCAGACAAACAGATTTAACCCTCGAGACAGGGCTGTCTGGCACCACATAAGAGCTGCTGTACTGAACACAGTGATTTTAAACAAACTTAACGATGATTAAGACACTGAAAACGCACTCACCACAGTGAAGAATCCCATCATTTTCATTATTTCTTTCATATTTTAGCTCCACAACAGARGAGTGTTAAAAGGCTGCAATGGCAGAGAAGCTGGATGCAACAGCTGGAGGGTTTTGCCTGTCAAACAAAGTGACTTGCAGCACGAGACACGCTTTATGCAGGAAAACCTATCACACACAGCTTTTGTGCTTCTGGGAAGAAGATCTAAGCACAACAAAGGCTGAAGCCTTCTAATCTCTCTTCATTGTAATCAGAATCCTGAAAGAAGCAGGGTCCAAATTACTCCAAGTGAATTTAGGCTCACTTACATAAAACAAAATTGTCCAGATACATCAACAGTAGTAAACAGAGTTAATGCGGTGTTAATCTTTGTACATTTTAATGACGAGCTATAAAAGCAGAAACTAGCATGTTCTAATCTGTTTACATTTCCTGAGCTTAGTTAAATCAAGAAGGAATGAACGTTATAAAAATCCCAGTAAGTCGCCAATAAATTAAAAATTATACATAACCACTACAGTTGGAGAATCCTTACGATGCTCAGGGTGAAATCTTCTCATCTGCTCCCCTGGCCTGTTCCTTGAGGGCCCCTGTGCCCATAACTTCACTGGCAATACTGAGATGCTGCGGAATTGCGGATCATCTTGTGCTCTCCACGCGCCTTCCCAGCAGACTCCACCACAGCCCTTTCCAATCTCACATGAGAGTCCTTAAAACCCTCAAGTTTTTACCCTGTCATCAGCAGAGAAGCATCTTCTACTTCCAGTACAGGAAACAGTGTTCCCAGAAACCCAAAGTGCTACTGAAATTCAAGTTTATTAGCAGGAGGTACTTGAGGGGACTCTCGCACATAATGTCACTGCATTGGCAGAGGTTTAGTTTCTGCTGGGGGACCAAACCAGTGAAAATCTACGCAGAAAACTGCAGGAGAGGCCCTCAGCAATAAAGAACTCATCTTCGTGGCGTCCTTAAGAGCCAGCATTATGCACTGGAGAGAAGCACCCGACCTACATGAGTCACAAGCATGTTTATTTATGCGTGTTATTTCCTGCATTGAGCATAATGTGGACCTTGGAAGAAGCCCCAAGCTTTGAGCCTATCCTGAGAGCACGGCTATTTGTAATATTGAAGATTACTCCTAACCAAATGCAGATACTCAGCTGTCTCAAAGACTTGCACACCATGAATTCTGGTAATATAAAGTCGCTTTTCTTTTTTTTCTAATTGTCTGCTTATACCATGATTTTGAACTTGCAGTGTAGATAAAAGAGAGGTAGAAAGGTTTATCTATCTGCTCAATATAATTTTCCATGCAGCATTTATAAAGTATCAGGAAAAAAAAAATACAGCGTTTGGTGAAAATGCCAGCTTTTCCCCTAAGAATTATGTGGAATCAACTTTTTCTCACTGCAGATCTACAAAGTAAATAACTGAAATCTGGTTCAGAAAACCTTTACTTCCCATTAGTCTCCCCACATGATTTTTGGTATCAAGGTCTGATGTTGAGAGAGCTATTGCAGACACATTCCTATTCAGAGCTCAGAAATACTTAGCAAATACAACCTAGTCACAGACCACATTCACCAGCCAAATAATACCAAATCTGATCCTAAAAAAGCGCCCACTCTTGCTCTACTTACAYGTCCCCTCTTAGACATGGCCCCAAGAGTGTCAGAAGAGGTCTGGAAGGTCCCCATTCCCTTCTCCTCCTTGTCAACTGCACCTTCCATCCCTATTCCTCCCTGCAGGAGCCACCATTACGTACCCTCCAAGAAGTCAAGGGGCAATGCACAGTGCTTTTCTGGTGAGTAATCCCCAAAAAGAGCAGGAAGGACGAGTTGTCCAGGAAAAAAGAGCTTAACAGAGCCATGTCAGCAAGAGAAGCGTCCACTTCTCCCTGGAGGAAGGGAAGTCTGCAGCAGAGCGCAGCCTTCTGGATTTCCTGCATCGAGGGAGGGAGATGAAGACACGTTAGCTCCTGCCCTTGCAGGCAGCAAGACCTCGTTCCAACGTGTGTGGTGCTTTCGACTGCATGCAGAGCCCTGGGCCCCAGCAAGGGCAGGGCAGGTCAATGGGAGCAGAGGGGGATCGGGCAGGGACAGCTCCAGCCGGGAGCCCCAGCACCGCACAGGGAAGGACCGGCCCGGTGGCAAGTCGGGACTCTCAAGGCTACAGTTCTAGCATTACCCAAGAAACAGCAGTTATCCAAAGCGGGGGATTTTAGCCATGGAAGTCAGGCTGTTGTAYGGTGACCTTTAATTTACCCACAGAAAGTTAAATAAATTACATCAAATTAAATTCAGCCAAAGCAGATGCTAGCTTATTTGTTAAAGAGCTCCATTTTTTTCCCTTTCTTTTGACTGTTTTTGGAGCAAGGCAGCTCTTGGGAGCAGGCCCGCACTCGAGCAAGAGCGGTCAATAGGGACAGCCAGAGCCACCCTCCTGCAGCCACACCAGCCCCTGCAATACACAGCTGTCCCCAGGGACACCCAGGAAAGCCACACGGCCAAGGAATTATCTTCTGCTCTCCCTGTATGCTTCTTGATCTCCCAGACTTTCTCCCTCTTTCCATAGGAACAGCACGCGACTCACTGTGGAAGACAGCTCCAGTGGCACCATTGCCTTCTGTTGTAACACCTTTAAAGAAATCTTCAAATTGATTCATATAAAGAAGTATTTATGTCATTTTAGAGGAACAGATCCTGCCCTACAAATATATAATTTGTCATTAATTTTAATAGACTTGGGTAAGGAAGTATGTATACAGTAACAAAGTCATGTCTACAATGAAAGTTGAAAATATTCTCTCTTCAGTTGTAGCWCTGTAAGAAAATGAATCCAAATGTAATCAGATAATCAACAGGAGGGGCTTCTCTTTTTCACCTGTCTTCCTATACACTGTCTTTCAATAGCACATCTAAAGTAGAGTCACATAAATAAGGTATGTGTTGCTTCCAGTCACACATGCTTTATATACAGTCTATCTTCTTTTGCTCTCTGGAAACACTCCTCCCGTTAGCTCCATCCTCCAAACATGATCCGCTGAACTAAAAAAAAAAATTCAAGTACAAACCCAAACTTTATTGCTGGGTTATGGGTCAATGTAAACTAACCAGAGTCAATGCCGGACTAAAATTCACTTTACAAAAGTAAGGATTGTTCGACTGCATTTGCTGACCATAGACAGCTTCTTTCACCATTCATACTGCTCGAAGATCTGCTGGGAACAAGACACAGTCCACGTCCTTTGGAAGTCAATGGGACTAGTAGCCATCATCATCCTCCACATCACAGCCATAATCTGAAAAAGATTCATGCAAAGACAAATGCAATTAAAAATGCAAATATTCCCTGTAAATGAAAAATACAATGAAAATATTATAATTATTGTCTTGTTTTCCTGCTGTGTAACTAGATGGTAAATTCAGATTTTAGGAAGCAGTAAGAAAACATGCATTTTCTTTTGGCTAAAGCCAAGGTGCTCACTTGTGCTTTCCTTAATGAAATAAAATTACTTGCAAGAACATATGTTTAAGTATCTGTTCTCAGTCGACCCTTGCTCAAGGATATATTTGGCACATGGATATGTGACATAGTTTAGTTTAGAGGTTAAGGTGATCAAGCCTGATTGTCAAAATCAATTTGGAACATGGTGGCTGATAAGGAGCAGCACACGTTTACAAGCAGGCATGATTCTCACTAGACACGAACATCAAGAACTCGCTAGCTAGTTTATATCACCCGGGTATTTATAAGATGAAACTGCAAAAGCGCAGGGCCAGTGTTCCCATCCCAGTCAAAAGATTCCCAAGAAGTCTTGCAGTGATTCGTGACCAATACAACTGACTCAGATCTCCCACTGCTACTTCCAGAGGAACAACTTAAAATCATTACTCAGGTTTTTTTTTTCCCCTAAAACGATGCTGATTGCAAAGATTTTGGGGCATGTTTGAAGGCATGTTTACATGTTTCTAATGCACCCGTTTCTTTTTTATGTAGTTCCTGAATGAAGCTGACACAAATCTCTTCTGTTGCAAAGGGGAACCTAAAGTTAACGATTACAAATGACCATTGAAGAAAGTTAACCTCTCTATTCCAAATTCAATTCAATTCCAATGTAATGCAACGTTTAATCCAAAGGCTCATACAAATGCTTTGCAGCAGAATCAAGTGTAATCTAAAGTAATTTGTGCAGAAGGGGTGAAGCAGCTCCTCATCTGCAATTCCCGCAGTTATTCCAGACAGAGAGATCTCAAATCCATGAACAAAGCAGTTAGAAAACAGTCAGTTGTTTTGCTGAAYAGCCTTGCACACCTGCATGTGAATTCTGGGAATACTCTTTTCCTCTTTAATTTTTTTTTAACTCTGATTTTTCAGCTGTTGTCCTGATAAAGAGTAGTGGAATGTTCTCAGAACAGTTTTAAAATAGTAACATTTAAAAAGAAAAAAAGCTCAGTGACCTTTATTCTATTTTGGTGGGTGTTTTATTAATAAACATAGACCCACCCTCCCCCGCATGGGTGCACTTCATTGGGAACATTATTCTAATGAAACATGCAGGCAACGAAGTGTTTTTCCTACAGTTCAGCAATCATTTTCCGGCAGAGAAATCAATTTAAGAGCAACACACATTTTTATGAAATGTATACATACTGTCCACGAAAGCAAAGTTAGTGGCACTGGAAAGATTTCTGCAGTAAATAACATTCCAGGAAACTTAGTGACATTTTTGCTTTTCCACAACCCAGAATTAGCAGCCTTCGTTTTAAAAATATTTCTGTATATTTTCAAAGCTTAACTTCTAAGGGGAAGTTTTTAATAAAGGGTAAAAGTAGATGTATCCAGCTAGGAAAAAAAAAAAAAAACCACAGCAGAAGGGATAGAGGGAATACTGCCTTTTCCTGCCAGCATAGAAACCTAATTAAAAGAATGGGTTTGCTGGGTAACCCAAAGAAATGAACCACATCTGTGCACCATGCAGCAGGCCATAGGCTATCGCTGCAATTTCTGTGCTTGTTGGAGARCTCATTCCCCCCACATTTCCCCCACAAACGGAGTGTGATCATTCATTTTGTTCCGAGCAGCACAGCCAGGTCCATAGGGCAGTAGGAATTCTGGATGGGGTGAAGGGAGAGGGACGAGCAGGGCAGTCCTGCCTGCCCTAAGCTCTGCAACTGCAAAGTCCACAGCGGCAGTGAAGAAATAACAGGCAGTGATTTAGACACCATCATCCCAACTTACCATTTCCTCCCATTAATTGCAATGCACTCATGCAGTGATCATCATCATCTTCTATTTCTTCCTCTTCCACCTCCTCATCAGGGTTATAAGCTACTGGGCCACTCTCCACTAGCACAGCTGCTGCTTTCTCAGAGACATCCGCTTGCGCATTGGGAAAGGTCACCTTCAAGAGAAGAGACGGGACAGTGGAGCAGCCCCTCAAAACACACATCTGTGGAAAAATGTTAGTAGCTTCCAAATGGCAGGGACGGGACAGCTGGAAGGCCACATCCAATCCTAGAGGCTCAGCTATTCTAGGAAACATTCAAGATGCTCAGTGAAATGTTGCCTGAATGAAAACTGGGSATAAACATCCAGTTTTCAGGTATTTCAGAACCAGGTAACTGAAATATAAAAAAAAATAGTGCCAGTAGGACAGGATCCTCCTGCAAGCACTAGGGAAATCTTACAATCCTATCCTCATCATATTAGACTCTTATAAGACCTACTGCATAGTAACAAGGCTACCGACACTTCAAAGATAGCAAAAATATGCTCTTCCTATCAGAAGGAAAGAAAACATGTATCAGTTTTGACAGCTATGGTTGGATTTATTTGGAGGCAGAAGGAGTTGTGGAACAAACAGCACTCTTCAAAAGGTACTTAATATTATGGCAGAACACAAGGTTGATAATACTTGTCAGCACCTACAATATCATCTGTGTAATTCATCAGAATAATTATTTCCAAGCACTGGTTTGGGAATTATCACTGCCAGGACACATTCCACATGTCCATCTAGTCACGCTCCATGGCTCGGCATGGCCTTGAGTGCTTGCTACCTTAAAGCCTGAGTGCTTAAGCTCCTAAGCTTGACTTTACAGAAGGATCAGAGCTCAGGAGCTGCCTTCAAGCACAGAGCAGTAGTGCAGGTCAAGAGGAGGGGGAAATGAGGGAGCATCTGCAAAGGTGAAAGAGAGGGAGGGAGACAGGCATGACAGGTAAGGAGGGAAAGGGGAGCACAGCAAGGAGACAGATGAACTTGAAAGTGCAAGGCAATCCTGTGATCAGGGCACTGACTGAGCTAAGGGGAATGCAGCAACCAGAAGGGGACAGCCCTGTGTCCCAAAGTGGTGTTGTCTGCCCCAGCACGAGCCGGGGTACAGACGGGCTCTGGGCTGGCCCCAGGAGCCCTTATTTCCATGGCATGCTCAACGCAGGCAACTATCTCCCTTTCACATTCAAGGAAGCACCACAGCAGCGTTGCTTTCTTCACCAGCTGTATAATAAGGTGCTTGTCACCTCAATTTGGTACTTGAAGCATTTCAGTTTTGTGCACTAAAGCCTGCAGCCCAAAAGAGACATCCCGTGAGCAGGAACTTGGAGAAGATTAAAGAGTAATCATCAATGCTGCTTTGCCATGTAAGCAATTTGGGGAATTGGGAGTGCTTGTAACATTACCTGTCACTAGTTATCAGTTATCATCACTGAGTTGTCACCTCTCATAGTCAGAGAGACTGAAAAAAACTGTGATTGTTAACTCGGAAAAGACAGTGGTAGGAGGATCATAATAATGGGTGATCTGAAGGAAATCAGGAAATTCTATCTTCTCTGCTCCTAACACAACAAAAATCATTGCTGCTTTAGATTTTAAACCCCACATTAGCTACAGAGATTGCAGGCCTGCTGCATTTTCTTCATTTCTGTCAGCAACAAGTTCTGAATTGGTGTTGCAAGTCCTACCTTATTTATTTGTCATGCAGTAACTCCAAGAATCCCTGCAATTATAGACACTTTAGAGACAACGCAAGAGAAAGTCCCTATACCAGAAAGATGATGGTCCAATTATTCAAACATCAAAGCAGTTCCCAAGCTTGTCAGAATTTATGCCACTCAACCTAAAGAAGCTGCCTGAGACTTTCAAAGTCACTTATGGGTTTGCTCCAATAGCTCATTAATAGGGCAAAAGATACCCATTAATTTTAATAGAAAATCAAGTATTTAGGTATTCAGATCACTCAGAAAAGGTTTTCATCTCTTTCTTTTTTAATGTTGAAAATTAATCATATTATTTAGAGGAACCATTGCTTTGCCTCAAGAATGATCAAATTGAGTCCACCTAGGTTTAAACGTAAGCAGAAGTAGACACAACTTTGGGAAGAATCAGCATCATCATGTATGTCAATTTTTATGCTTACAGTATCCATCTGCTCTGAAAAAAAAAAAAAGTGGGTGAATATAAAGGAGCTAAGACTGAGTCATTATTTTTTAAAATTGCACCATGCTAATTAAAATATGACCTTCATCTAATTATCATGTCCACTTCCAGACTGCATTAGTTCTATAAATGTGGAGGGCTTTCTAATGAGCACAGCATAAGTAGCGAAAATGTCTTTCCCCAGGCAGGATATCAGATTGTTTCTGAAAATCAGTGGGTTTTAGTCATTTTCAAATAAGCCTGTCAAACAATGCCTTTAAACAGAACTTCCTGAATTCTCTTCCAGACAACTTGGCCTTCAGTTTGGCATATATCTTTATGTAAGCATAGCTGCTTGCGAAAGCAAGTTAGACTATCAATCAAAGTTAACTAGTACACTCTCAAAGGGTGCCAGTGTCACACATTCATGTGACAAACAGGAATGGCAGACTCCTTTGGCACATTAGCAACAGTTTTGAGATACACAGTAGGCAGTTATTTTGTAATATTTAAAATGCATATGTCTATTTTGTACAGTGTGACTATATAATAGTGAGGAGAAGCACTGTGCTAYGCTGGAAGTGCACTGGCTCTGCTAATAATCATGATCCCCTCCAGCAGCAAATACACATGTGCAAGGCTGCTCAAGGAAGGCTAATGACAGYGGACACTTTCTAGCACTAACTTTTYTGGGGTGTGGCTRTATTTTCAAAGAAAACTCAGAGAGAGCACCTCATGCTCTTTAGGGCAAGCTGCCTCTTCAGTGGTGTTTCCTCACCGCTCTCCTGAGGCAGTCCCTGGGAGCACAGCACTTTCCTGGCTCACCACTTGCTCCCCAGAAGCAGCATTTTGCATCATCCCCCTTCCCCAGGGGGGACAATTCAAACAGAATCACAGGATGGTTGAGGTTGGAAGGGACCTCTAGAGATCATCCAGTCCAATCCCTGCTCCAGCAGGGACACSCAGAGCACGGGGCACAGGGCGGCATGCAGGCGGGTTGGGAAGATCTCCAGAGAAGGAGCCACCACAGCCTCCCTGGGCAGCCTGTGCCAGGGCTCGGGCACCCTCACAGGGAAGAAGTTCTTACTCACATGCAGATGGAACTGCCTGGATTTCAGCTTGTATCCACTAGGCCTTGTCCTATCACTGACCACCACCAAGAAGAGTTTGGCCCCTTTCTGCCTACATTCTCCCCTCAGGTACTTAGACATATTGATGAGATCTCCTCTCTTGTCTTCTCTTCTCTTGGCTGCAGAGAAACAGACGCAACCTCAGCTCCCTCCTATTCCTCCYACCTGCTTGTTTGCTATGTTTTAGATGCCTTCAGGCTTCCTTTTTTTTTTTCTCTTTTTGTCTGCCTAAACAGTGATTCTTGCTACATATGCTGAATCTGCTACGGTTACTAATGGATTAATGCAAGGGCAAACCTGGATTAGAGAACAGGTAACCTCAGCTTTGTGGTGTTCCCAGTAACCAGCTCCTGGTCTGCCCAATGACATCAGTTTCTCATTTCTTTGGCATGGACTTCACCGCGTAACCACAGCCAGGCTGAGAAAGGTTTGTGGGAATTTCCAAACTCTAAGTGTTGCCCTGGGCGAGCTGCTAGACTGTACCTACCTCTTCAGTAGCAGCCTTTTTAGCCAGTTGTGTAGAAATCAAGGGTCTTAATCTGAAAGAAAGAAAAGAAGAAATGGTGAACATCAAAAATGTATTAACACACAGAAAAAAGGTTTGACACTGAGTGTTCACTCAGACTGCAAACAGTGAAAGCATCTGCTAGTGCTATCACGCTGAGCACTGTGTTTTGTAAAGATACAAGGGCTAAGGGCCAGCAGGAGAGGCCGCAGCGATTCCGAGCCCAAGCAACCCAGGCTTGGAGSCTAAGGAATGCAGCCCAAGGTATCCAGGCTGCCCGTGTGGCCGGAGGCAGGGCACGCGCCAGGGCAGTGGGGCTTTGGGCACAGCAGCCCATTTTTCTGAGCAATGCAGGTGGCAGCAGTCACTGGGAGCGAGCCACGCGCACACACGCCRGAGTTGCTCTGCAATGACTTCCCTTTACTTTCATGATACATGCACGATACGAGAAAGATTATATACCTAGGGTATCAGAATCATCACAGAATAATTGCAATCTCAGGCTACAGCAAACATTATTGAAAGTGAGAGGATCCAAGATATCTTGAAAGAGAAATGACAGAAATGAAACATGTTTTAAAATTCTGCACCAGGTACAAAGCCCTGCATTTCTGGGGAGAAAAATGACTCTCTATTATTGTCTATGAGTCATTAAAGATCATTCATTGCTGAAAAAAATTATATAGCCAGCTGCCTTCTTATTGTTAGGAAGGCTGTTCTTAATCCATCTGTTTAGTGCTGCCTTCTGATCTTTCCTCCTCATCTAGATATACCTAGTTATGAAAAGGATGACTTGCTCTCTACTGATATTTCGCTCAGAYTGCTCCTCAAGTATATCTTTTAACTAAGTCTAGGCAAATAGCTTAATGAATACCAATTTACATCTCCAGAGATGTACTTTTTTCATGATAAACAGTATCTTTCTTTTCGTTTTTCTATTAGTCATTCCTTTCCCATTAGCACATAGATGCTAGTTCTTTTCCTATTTATATATTTCTAATAATCAGCAGTAGAAAGCAAAACCCCAGAGAATGAAGAGRGAGACCTTAGATCATTAACTCTGATGGAGAAGACAGTATTATAATTCAGAATAGTGGCTAAGCTCCAAAGATGTTCACAAAATCATCATTTCTGGAATGCTTTGTAAGACCTCAGAGGCATTTTGATAATCAAACTAGTCCGAGGGGACTGATATAACAGATCTAAACAAAAGATGTTCCGGGACTGCTTCAGGAGCTCTACTGCTGAATGATCTGGAAAACATTATTCTGTAACTGGTAATATTTGTCACATTTCATGATTATCAAAAAATTCAAGAAAGAGATACTCTTTACCTACATGAATTGGGGTTGGACTAGATGACCTCTGAGGTCCCTTCCAACTTCAAGCAATTCTATGATTCTATGAATTATCTATTACCTACAATTCTTGGTGGATTTTTGGGCTTGGAGAGGCTGTGTTTGAAGCCAGACACATCTCCACCTAGGCTTCTGATCTTCTTTTTCTTCTCTAACTTGAGTTACAGACTTTTCCTAAACTTTGAGACAACCTGCATCATCCTGTCAACCTCCATTTGCCAAGTGACCTTGTCTGGATGCTTACAAGTGTCAGAACACAGCAATGYCAAAAGGTTACGAAGCTCAAGGATGCTAATTATGAAACAGGTTTTATTGCTGTGACACGGCTGAAGAATCAACAGGGGCAAGAAACGAGGGACCTTCACTTTAAAAACACTGGTAGTGATTATTGCAATTTGCATTGTACCAAAGATAGCACCTACTGCCTCGTGTTGCTGGCAGACATCAGGCCTCCCAAGAGCACCCTGAAATCCTTCCCCCCCCAATTAGCATCAAGCTGTTGAGTAAGACTCACAAGGTAATCAGAAACTGCTGACATGTCCTTTGGAGCAAATTACACACGTGCTCACACAGTGAGGGAAACAATCACAGCTATAGGAAGCCACGAGTAAACAGACCGGGTTCATCTTAATTAAAACGGTCCCCTAATGAAAATAAGAAGCTTCATGCTTAAGAAAAGCCAATTTGTAAACTCTAATGCTAAATCTGAGAGCCATTTTATACCATTTTTCAGCACTGAGCAACTTTCACACCTATACTGAAATTAAGGTTGTATTTCTATTCCACATTAACTGCTCACAAAGCATACTTTTTCAYATCGTTATTAGAAATACAGTGCTGTCATTTAATGTGGATAATATCGTTTCTCTCTCACACTAGGCTGGACTCTCCTTTTGCACCCGCTGGGCTGACACACATTGCCCGTCGGTGCCTCCCAAGGATTTTCTTGCACTGGCCACAGCAAAGCTCAGCTCACTGCACCTAAATTAATGTGTGCTGCCAACAGACATGAACAGGGAAAGCTGAAAAAACTTAGAAACATCACAAAGAGAGAAATAAAGTTTATTCTCCCCCTAAAATTATGCCTTTGATTAAAATAATAAAAGAAAAACAGGTGATTTCTCTCCCTTGGCTGACTGCATCACTGTGTCCATGCAAAAAAACCCTAATATTACAGTACAAAACTTTTGTGGAAGGCTTTATAGTGGCGCAGGGGTTTTGTTTTGCTTCTTGACTGCCCCAGTGTCCTGACCTCCTTAAAGCGGAGCAGCTGCTGCCGCCGCAGCCATATGGGACAGCAGGGGCGGCTGCCAGGGCTGCAGCTCCGGCCTCCTCCTGCGCCCGGGCTGGCAAGCGAGCAGCCTCCTCGCGGCAAAGCGCTGCCCTCTTCGAGCCTGGCGCAGGTCTGGGCGTTAAGGAGCACCCAAACGGCTTCAAACATGGGTGTATCTCTGAGGTATCGGACCCGATTTTTATAAAGCTCAGTGTAGGACACAGCGTTCCAGTGGTCCCGCTTTAAAATGTGACGTTGTGCTGACGTGTCCTAAATGGCGCAGAAGCCGTTCACCATTTTCCACAACTTCCAACTTGGGGCACCTTCACTACGAACTTTGCTACTCACTACAGCACCTACAGGAAAAAAAGCAGGATTCACAGAGCCCCAAGTGCAATACACATGGTCCAGACCACGTCAAGCATGGTGCACATCCCATTCCGCTCACATCAGCCAGCACGTGCAGCCCTGGAAGCAGAAAATGTGGCCGTGCTCTCAACAAACCCCATCAGGGCACAGGGCAGGGCAGGGGCCATCGGGGCGGCTCCGCGCGTGGCACCGTCCCACCAGCTTTGAAAGGAGATTCGTGATAATGGATTCTGACAGGGCTGAGCATCACACAGCCCCAACTTTCCAAGTGAGCAGATTCTGTGAAAAACAAGCTGGCTGTGACAAACAACTGTTTTTCTCTTGCTTATTATTTAATAACAAAAGATTACACGGCACAGCACACAAAACAGAAAGAGCACCACGAGGCAATAAAAAGATGGATCTTGTATTGGGCCGCGCCGCCACCGGAAGGTTTATGATGCCACAGCAATCTCCTCCACGAAATCCTGGAAGTAATTTGGGAGCTCACCCAAAAGCTCTGTTCCTGACTAAATTTTAATTTAATCCGTCCAAGCAGAGCATCTCTTACTGCTGCCTTCCACACAGACGAATGTTACACGCAAACACAGCATCCCCGATGGGAAGCGGAGATGCTCTGGAGCCTGGAAACACAAGTATAATTACGCAGGTCATCTAAAACAAATGCCATAAAGCCTACAGAACCGTACCACGGGCATTTCATGCCCGTGCAGCTTCTGTGACAAGAAATAAAAGGCTATTTAGGAGCAGTTCAGCGAGAGACAGGCCCAGCTTCCTCGTGCYGGTTGCACTACTCCTCCCACCTGAGGCCAGATGGTTTTGCCTCAGGAAGTCAGTTTACCAGACATCTGTGCGAGAAGGAAATTAATATAAATGTTTACCCCAGCTAAACGTGCCCTTTAATTAGGTACCGTCAATGTTATCCTTACCGGAAAGCCGGGAATTGCCTCTTTGCAAGGATTTAATGCTCCTTTTTGGAACATGACAGCATTAGGAGATACCGAGCCATCATTTTGCTGTTAGTGTAAGAGAACAGTAAATGCTTTGGCCTTGGACCACGGCTCTCTCCCAGAATATGGATCAGAATGGGGCTGCACTTCTGCCTGGACACCCAACCCCCTTCTCCAGCCACAGCAGGGCAAGCCCTGGTGCTTCCAAGAGCTGTTCCCCTTCCTCGAGGTACGGGGCCAGGGCACTGCTCACTGTGCCATAGATGAGCAGCTGCCTGATGGGTTGAATAAGACGTTGGGACCACAGAACCACAGGATGGTTGAGGTTGGAAGGGACCTCTAGAGATCATCCAGTCCAAGCCCTGCTCCAGCAGGGACACCCAGAGCATGGGGCACAGGGCGGCAGCCAGGCGGGTTGGGAAGATCTCCAGAGACGGAGACTCCACAGCCTCCTTGGGCAGCCTGTGCCAGGGCTTCTTCCCTCACAGGGAAGAAGTTCTTTCTCACATGGAGATGGAACTTTCTATGTTGGAACTTACACCCATTACCCCTTATCCTGTCACTGAGGATGTAAGGGATGTAAGGGATGTAAGGATGCACCGTGGCACACCAGGAAGGGCACCGCAGCCGCAGAAAACAACATCAGATTCTAAGGCAAGGCATTCTCATCCCGACACCACAGGTGCAGGTCGTTATTTTTGGCTTTTGGACCACCACGTAGCACAGCACAGCCCTGCAGTCAGTGAAGACACCTCAGAGACTTGCTCTGGATCACTCTCCAGTGACAGGACTGCAGAGACGTCAGCAAAGACCAAAAGACACGGGCTGAAGGCTGCAGCTGCTCTGTARTGACGGCAGCTCCAGGCATGCCGAGCTCCTGGCTAGCCCGGGYGCTGTGTGAGTGGCACTTACGGGCTCAGCAGGCAGGACCTGAAGCGTCCTAGATGCTGGCAGATCCCTGGAGAGCAAGCCTGGGCTGCACTGCATAAGGTGCTGCGGGGCCTTCCCGTGAGCACTGCCCAAATCAAACTGCAACATCAACGCCTCTACGGACTGCGCTGGCCGCACCAATGTGCCCTCTGCT